TGTGTATGAATATTTCACTGGTCATTAAATATTACAGCGATATTGATCAAGCTTCTTTTTTTCTGACAGGCTTCTCTGTGGCATGGATAAAATGTGGGTTTAACCATTAACCAGAAAAAATCCTGTATCATCTGCTTCTGGATCTAATCAAGGCCGACTAGAGGGTTGTGTATCATAAGACGACATGCATGTGTCCTGGTGTGTCCTGGTGAGCAGACATAGCTATGCATATTTCATTTCTATACTCTTACATTATGCACATGGATGATGTACTGGACATAAAATATGAACAGCAGAGTGCTTCTTTCTTTGCTACAATTATTTGGAAAGACTGTAAGACTTTATCATGTTTTTAAAATAAGTGTCTTCTGCTCACCAAGGCTGCATTTATTTGATATTAAAAATACGGTACGAATATTTTGAAATATCATTGCATTTTAAAATAACTTTTCTTTAAAATGTAATTTGTTACTGTGATTGTAAAGCTGAATTTTTCAGTATCCATTACTGCAGTCTTCAGTGTCACGTGATCATTCAGAAATCGATTTAATATGTTGAATTAGTGTTCAAGAAAGATTTCTTATTAATACCAATTCTGAAAGTTTGTGCTGCTTATTATTTTTGTGAAAACCATGAAACATTATTTAAAGAGTCTCTGATGTATAGAGATTTCAAAAGAACAACATTCATTTGAAATAGAAATCTTTTGTAACAATGCAAAAGTCTTTACAGTCAATTTTATCAAATTAATGTCCTTGCTGAATAAATGTGTTAATTTCTTGACCAAAAAAACTTTTAAATGGTAATGTATGTTTAGTATTATATTAAAGTGATAGTTCACCCACAAATTCTATCATCATTTATTCACCGTCATGACATATCAAACTTGTATAATTGTCTTTATTCTGTGGAACACAAACGAATATAATTTGAAGAAGTCAATGGGGTCCAAAACAACACTGAACCCAACTAATTTTAATTTTATGGACGAAAACAGTTTAAATCTTCTTTTGTATTCCACACAAGTAAGAAAGTAATATGAGCTTAGAATGACATCAAGGTGATTAAATAATTTAAATTTTGGCTTAACCAACCCTTTAGACCTAAAGTGTTAGCGTGAACAACAGCAATGCATACAGCAATAAATACATTAAAAAATCCAAATAAAAAATTGCCCTACCTTTTGAGACATTGAATTGTTTCCTTTGCATGAGGACAGGGGCCACAGGGCCTCCAAATGCTGACGTCCTTTAATCCAGTAATCCGGTGCTGCATTGCTTTTCCTCTGATGGGGGTCTGAGACAACAGATCGGTGGCTTGAGGTTCTGGGGAGCGTTTGTGAGCCTGAGTCTAGGCTTGTGGATGGGATGTTGGCAGTGGTAGGTGGAGCCCATATGGCCCGGTCCTGGGTGAGGATCGTGCAGATAGCCTCCTGCTTCAGCTGGCTAAAGTGAGTGGAGCAGACGCCACAGCGTCCATCCGCATTGCCCCAGGCTTCTACAGTACTAGCAGGTGGTTTCATGCTCTCATAAAGATGAATGAAGACTTTGGGATCCTGAGGCACAGAAAGAAAAATGTTGTTGGTGACTGTTAACTCATCAGAACATATCAGAAACTGTGTTGATAATTACATATATTAAAGAAATCTTTTAAAGGGGTCATATGATGCTGCTAAAACAACATTATTTTGTGTATTTGGTGAAATGAAATGTGTTCATGCGGTTTAAGGTTAAAAAAACACATTATTTTCCACATACAGTCTTACAGTCTGTGAGTCAGAACAGCCAGCATTGTAGTCTACTCTACCAGGATCAGGAAACAGTCCTCCATAAAATGCGCTGGACACATCTGAATATTTGGGTTAAACTGTTCTGGAACAGTGTTGTAAATACAACTTAAAGGTCCTCTGAAATGCTTAGAAACATGCAGCGTTACTCTTCTTCTTCAGAATTTTTTGGCGTATTCCGCACCATAGGCACATACTACGGCGTTGCGGCGTTACTCTATGTGTTGACATCATTTTAACTGAAACAGGAAGACAGGGCGGGACAGATCAAGAAGCCCCGCCCCTTTTTAAAATAGCATTCAATACAATAGCATTCGTTTATATCACTGCTTGGGCTAGAGCCGTTCAGAGCCGTTAAGACTAACATATTGATACTAACACCCAAAAAACTTAAATTTGGATTTCATGGGAACTAACCTGACGTAGACATGTGGGGACGTGTTAGAACGAGCCGTTTTAGGTAGGCGTGGTTGACTCTTAACTTTTATAAAGAATATCTCTTTGGATTTGAGACTTTAGTCTTTGCAACTTTACAGATCTTCTTTATGCACCAAGAGCTTGTAACACTCCAAAGAGAAAGGAAAAATTTAAATCGCTTCATATGACCCCTTTAACATGATTTTTAAACCACACATTTTTTTGGTGACATGATAAATACTCCTCAGTGTTGTTTTAGGATCACTGACATCATTAATATTTTGTTTTCATTTTTATACTTTCCATTTCATTTTAATATCAGTTAAAGTTTTGTTGTGTTTTTGTAATTTATAGCTATATATATGTGTGTGTGTGTGCGTGTGTGTGTGTGCGTGTGTGTGCGCGTGGCAACTATAAAATAAAATGTATTTTATATTTCATTTGATTTCAGCAACAAAATTGTTTTTTATGGTTTTAATATTAGTTTTAGTTTTAGTTGACTATAATAGCCCTGATAATCCCATCCTATCTTTATCTTAAAGTAATTTCTCAATCCATCTAAAATATTATGGGGGAAAAAGCCAAAGATTTTGAGTTTACTAAAAAAATCAACTATGATCCACTAACCTATTTTTTCCCACCACCAAATACTGAGACACATGCCATCCACAAATGCATCTCTGTCTCAGCTGATCACATTATAGTGCCATTTACTTTATTGTTCTCAGTAGGAACTGAGTTTTCATATCCCACCCATTATACCTCATATTCTAGTGTAATCAAGGCTAGACGAGTGTCACATGAATCACAGACCAACTGCAAAAGCTAATCGATTTAAATTCGTTTCAGGGGAAGGGGGAAAAAAGCATGCGCCTCATATGTAATTGAAATATGAGACAGACTGTGGCTGATGGGGTGGACATGAATGCAGCAGTCCACTAAACACCACCCAAGAAAATGCATGATAATCGTTTCTAAATGTATGCAAATAGATGATACAAGGAATATACTTACTTTAGTAGAAAGATTTTCGTCAGTTACTTGTTTTAACGCTTCCCTTTTGAAGACGTTGAAATGAGAGATGCACTTTTTGCACAAATGTCCTGTGTCGAATAACGTTTCTCTTTTCATCCCTGTGGACTTGACGGAGTTGTATTCAGGGGGGTAACCGTTTAACGATTCTTTGGACCATTTTGACCGTAGGAGAGAGTTAGTGAGAGGTGTCGGGAAGGAGCTTGCGAACCCTGTCCAAGGTGCTGCATGAGAATCATATGCTGAAGAGCCAGCGCCTTCGGGCGGCAGACGCTCCTTCTGCGCTGCCGCTGCGTGACCCATGAACACGGGACCCATTTTGACGTTGCTCATCTGTGAACCGTAAACCGCCTATATTAATTGTATGCAATATTCAACACTATATTTCGTTATAATGGAATATAACTGAGCTAACAAATGATGCATATTACTTACAGTCATACAGAAGTACTTAGTCACCTACTTACCATGAACCGCTCACTGCCTGTTGTTTCACAGTATCTTGTTTGATTCTTCATATTCTGAATGAATAGACGCTCAATAAATTCGTTATCTCAACGCATCCTCCACAACCAATCGTTAAAAAATAAATAAAAAAATGTTTCACGCAAAAAAGATGACTTTACTTCGAAAAGAAAGAGACGCGTTGTCGTCGTAGCGCATGCTGTGATTTCGCGTACCGTGCTTTTATGTTCTTGGAGAACTCCGGTGAGTAAAAGTGAATATTTGATTTTTGTTTACGCAAATGCAAAAAGTCCTTGAATTAAATCATCCCTCGCGAGCTGTTCTGTAAGTTGCCGTTGTTTTTAATGCCCATTTTGAACTTTATTCTGTAGAGAAACTGTGCAAGCAAGGCATAGCCTATATGATGAAAAAAAAAAGATTTTTATAGCCTATTCATCCTTGGGTTGTTGTTGCATTATGTCTTCATCTTTTTTGTTCTCCGGTACAGTAGTACCACCCACTTGTCATTGCTCTAAGGAATTGAGATCACAAACACTGTTGTGGTTACCATATAGTGAGATTGATCATGAGACAGCGCCACCCATCGACTAACATTTAAATCTGCAAACGGCAGTGCTGCCCACATGCGAATTTATAGCCTACAAGACACTGCAAAGTTTGGAAATTAGTTTTTTTTTTTTAAGTATTTGTATAATGAAAAAATTATAATTGTGTAGCTATTAGGATGTGTTGTGTATTCTGAGATAAAATACTTTTTTTCTGTTTTGTTAAAGGTGCATTAATCAATCGTTTTTCAACAATTAAAGCCTTTTTGCCTTATGTTGTGGGTCTTTTACTCCACATTTGAGCTAAAAGGCCTCCCAACATGGGGCAAAAGATGGGGAGGGGGTTACTAATTGTTGAAAAACTATTGATTGTCATACATACATGCAGCATCATATTTGAACATACATATGACTATTCAACTAAACACTTTGATTTTACATTTTTTGCATAGCCAACAATTATTATTCTTAATAATAATGAACAAGTATTTCCTTAAAGTCATTCCCGGCTAAAAGAAACCTGTTAAACGTGTAGGCATAAGGGTAAACATTGAGAGGCTTATGAAAAACACTAGGGGAGGGGGGAGTTATTTAACTATTATCCACATTTTAAAACAAATGTAAAAATATATATAATTCATAAGGGTGACATTTAGAAAGGTCATTATATCGTTTATATGTGGATGCATTTAAATTTGCAATGCTCATTAAAGGATTTCACAATGCCAATGTAAATCATCTTGAATTCACGAGCCAAAAGGAATAGCCTAGTCTCTGTGGTCGTAAGCATCTAGGAGGGTTGAACACGCCCAGTTCCCTCGATGCTGTTGCATTGGGTGGGGTCTAGCACCTAAGGCGCCATTGAATTGTTTTGCCGGTGGATAGACGCAGAATCACCGCGGCTGTGCGCAATTCAGAGAAGCAAAGCGGCCGTCGGCTCTCCCTGGATTGCAATATTCCAACGATCGAATCTTTTCGTTTTTTTATAGTCCATCTACACTGAAACGACAACATGAGTGAAATCAACGTAAAAAAGCTTAAGGTGAACGAGTTGAAGGACGAGCTGAAGAAGCGCAATCTCTCCGACAAGGGATTGAAGGCCGAGCTTATGGAGCGGCTGCAGGCCGCGCTCGATGCAGAGGCCCAGGCCGAAGTGGAAGAAGCTGCCGCGGCAGATGCAACAGAAGAAAACGTGGCCGAGGGAAACGATGTTGCGGTCGAACAAGAAGGCATGGGTGAAGAAGAGCCAAAGGGCGAGAGCATGGAGGCCGAGGAGCAAAATGGAGACGGGGGTGATGGTCAGGACGACGAAATGGGCAAAGAGGAGGAGGATGGGGACGCCGGCGTGGAAATGGACAAAGCCCTCGATGAAGAGGAGGAGGACGACGAGATCATAGACAAAATCGACGATGAAGATGATGAGCCTGAATCTCATCCATTAGAGGGTGAGTTTTTTTGTGTTGAAACGCCGGGAGTATCCTGTTCACGTGCGCTTTGAAGCCGGTGAGATCATCGTTTAGCATATGTGGCTAACGGCTAACCGGTGGCTATTGTGTAGATAGCTAATGTGCTAATCCGGTCGGTTTGAGTTTACGCGCTAGTTCGTGGTTTGGAGTTTAAGATTTTGGAGGTTTCTTTGTTTTTAGCCGTGTTAGCAAAGCTAATCTAATCACCCGCGCGAGCCTATTGTCTTTAGGAGTTTGTTGCTATTGTTGATATTTTCTTACGATTAAAGGTACATTATACATTCTTATCTACAACTAACGGATTTCTGTTCTTTTATCGTATTGTGTTTGGTCGGTTTAACGTTAGCTAGTTTCAGAAACCGCTCGCTAGACAAATCGCCTCGCTGCATGCTTGAGGCGGGTCGCCCTCGCGTGGACTCACAAGTTGCTGTGCAGAAAACCTTACGGCAGACAATGAAAAAGTGAGGGATACAGTGAAATTAATGCATTTTCAGCGGGTGATAGGGTTAGGAATATTATAAGATGGAGGGAAATTACAAAAAGCGTCGAAAGACAGGGACATTTTAGTTTCGGTTCAGGTTACTAGAAGGCGCCATCTACTTCCGTGCAAGGTCAGTTCAGGATAGTGCGTGTTGATGCTGTTCGCCGGTTATTTGTTGTCAAAGATGTGAGCATTGAGCACAGCTACATTAGGCTAAATGTATATATCACCAAAAAAGCACTCATTGTTTTTTGACTGTGAATGCATTACATTTTAGAGAAAGGCACTTTAAAACACAATCAATAGGAATTGCACCACCCACGTTTTTGTCTGATCTGGTTTATGCAATCAGATCAGTGCTTGCATTTTATATCCTGAATGCCATAATGACATAACCAAGCAAAATATTCTGTCTGATCAGAGGTGGTTGGTTGATTTTGTAACTCTGGTAGAGTCCGAGCACTCCTGTCGTGTGGGCCACCCTTAAAACCCAGGGTCCAACACGTCCGGGCATTTCATTATTGTTTGTTTTATTTTCAAAGGGGATGCGGACAAAGACATCAGTGCTGATCAGAAGAATAAGAAGGGTGTTAAGAGACGCCGGGAGGAACATGGAAGGGGCTACTTTGAATTTATTGAAGAAAGCAAATACAGCCGGTAAGGATGGGAGCAATGGCCTTCATTATCCCCGAAGTGCCACTTTTAATATATTATATATTGGCTTTAAGTGCCAATGCCTTACCTTGAAAAATACAACCCTCATCTACCTCTTAACTAAAGTAAAACTTTGTTGAGGGTCATTCCTGGCTAATACAAAACACCTTACCTTCAGTAAGATCATGAAACTACACTTCAAAGAGTGCTCTGATGGAAAAAACAATATGTTATTGTTAAACACACACACTCTCACACTGTTGTCAGGCTGACTGTATGCGCGTGTGGTGAATCAGACAGCGAACAAAGCAATGACGATAGCATGAGATGCGGCTTCTCTCATGGCAGGGGAGGGCCAGCGACGTAGAGTTTATATCGCAACGTGTATCATGACGTAATGGGGCGGTTAAGTAATGGTAATGAACCAAATTGTTGTTTAAATCCTCAGACGTTCCTTCGTCGTTTGTATCTTTTTTTTTTTTTTTCTTAAATGGTTTTTGTTTCTTTTTCTTTGTATAATTCTGAAAGGTTAAATGTAATATTTTACTGTTTATTTTTATATTGTAACAATTTTTTGTGTATTTGGAAAAACTAAAGAACTGTAATAACTTTTCCTTTTAAAGTCTGTTTCATTCGTGGTCAGCAGGTAAGTACAGACGTTTGCAGTTCTTCACATTGCATAAGGAAATGGAAATATGTTTACATGTCTAATGCATGTTCTTTCTCTATAAGTGTGTGGTGCTCAATTGCAGATTGAATAAATGTAATTTTCCTAGGTTTGATTTTCTGGCTTTTGTGCTGCTCACCTATAGTGAACCAGTGTTTAGATTAAAAAAAGTTTCTGTCTGCTTATGTTCTTTTAGTATATGGAACAAAAATGTATATATTTTTTAATGTATCTTAATTCCTAATGGAGGATCTCGAGCATGAAAAACCCCAAGCTATTATTTGAACCAAATAAATTGTAGCAATATCTGACCCAATTACTAATGACGTTGCTTGACTTGTTTATTGACTTGAATTTATGGGGCCTGACAAAACATTATAATGGTGGCAACCCCTTACACTAAGAATTGTAAAGACTTGTTTACGACCCCCCTCGTTACAGGACATGACATCTGTGACATGATGTTGGTTGCTACAGAAAACAGTTTGACAAGATTTCACCTCCAGATGTCCCTAAAAACTATTTTTCAGAGATTATGCTGAATAGAAAATATAATCTGGAACAAATTCTAAAGTCTGTATAAGCAAGTAAAGACCGAAACAGCAGTAAGAACTTTAGATTGTTTTGACCTTTCCAGGAAGATCTGCATGTAGATATAAATATAAAAATACCCTTTGACCTTTTCAGACCATTACCTGATAAATTGGAAAGGGCAACACTCTTTCCATATAGCACAACATTGCTGCTTTCTATTTTACCAACAAGTTTTCTTTCAGGCTTCGTCGTGGGGTAAACTGGTAAGCAATGATGGTAAATTTTGCATTCACAATTGTGAATTCACAAAACAGTATAAGATGTTGTGAGCAGCCAGTGTAAGGTAATGTAAATTTACTGTTGACGCTGCTGTGGCTATGAGGAAGGATCTCACCTGGACATGGGAAGCATGCCAGTCCATCACACTCCTGCTTCACCCATGGCATTAATGACTTATTAACTGTATTTCAGGTCTAAGTCTCCTCTGCCACCTCTTGAGGAAGAAGATGAAGAGTTTGACGACACTCTGGCCTGCCTGGATCCATGTGAGTGCTTTATGTGTTAAGAAGCACGTTGACTAATAGTGTAGTGAACTTTTAATAACCGTATTAAGTTGCTCTTGGACTAACAAGCATATTTTTTTTCAATGTTTCCATAGACAATTGTGACCTTAATTTCAAAGTCTCCCGGGACAGGTACAGCGCCTCCTCTCTTACCATGGAGAGTTTCGCTTACCTTTGGGCAGGTGGCCGTGCCTCCTATGGCGTAAACAAAGGCAAAGCCTGCTTTGAAATGAAGGTGAGTACTACAGCATATTTCATGTAAACCGATGAGAAAGTGATGAATTTTGAATCATTATTTGTCTCCTGCTTTTGCAGATCACTGAGAAAATCCCAGTCAAGCATTTAAACAGCAAAAACGTGGACTTCCATGATGTCCATGTTGGCTGGTCCCTGGCTAATGGCAGTCTTTTGCTGGGTAAGCACAGTTGGTTAACATTAGCATGTGCTTATGTGACCACAGTGTATGATTGCACAGCCCTATTTCATCTACTAAAAACACATATATGACTTGTTGCTGTTTTAGGTGAGGGGGAGCATTCCTACTCTTATTCGAGCAAAGGGAAGAAGACTTCAAACTTTGTGACCGAAGACTATGGGGAGAATTTTGATGAAAATGATGTCATCGGCTGCTTCATTGTAAGTCGTTTACATCACTCTCAGACAATAATTGTATTTTTCCCTTTTAGTTTACATATTCTTATGTACTTTGGTGTGTTTCTTTATCTTGCATAGAATTTCGAAGCAGATGAGGTGGAGATTTCCTACTCCAAAAATGGAAAGGACCTTGGTGTGGCTTTCAAGGTCAATAAGGAGTCCTTGGCCGGGCAAACACTGTTCCCCCATGTTCTTTGCCACAACTGTGCGGTTGAGTTCAATTTCGGTCAGAGGGAGACACCATTCTTCCCTCAGGTGGAGGGCTTCACCTTCCTGCAGCAAATTCCTGTGGATGTGCGTATCAGAGGACCTAAGGGACCTGAGACCAAGAAAGATTGCGAGGTACTTTTTCCCCTTTCATTTTTTTTATTTTTTTTTATTTTATAAACATTGAAACATGAATATACCCTATTGTTAAAAAGGTTTTTTATGAAGTTAGTACTTATTGAATATAAATTTATAATCTTATGAAAAATTTCTATTTCGAATAAATGCTGTTCTTTTGAACTTTCTATTCATCAGAAAATGCTAAAATTTTTCCACAAAGATGTTAAACAGACCAATTGTTTTCAACATTAACAACAGTGTTGCCAAGTCCGTGGTTTTCACGCAGAGTTGGGCTACTTTAACACTGTTGCCGTGGGTTGTTTTTCATGTTTTCATTTCAATAACATGATATTTAGCCCCTGGAATGCAAATTTTACCAGGGGAACCCTGCCAAAGAATTGTGTGTATTTTACCACCCTGAACGTGATTGGGCTAGTTTTGAGTAGCAATTGGGCAGATTTTGTTGTGAAAACCTGGCAACCCTGATTAACAATAATATAAAATGTTTCCTGAGCACCAAATCAGCATATTAGAATGATTTCTGAAGCATCATGTGTCACTGAAGACTGAAGTAAAGGCTGCTGACAATTCTGCTTTGCCATCACAGGAATCTCTTTAGATTTTGAAATAGAAATTGTATAATCAAATAAATGCAGCCTTGGTCAGTATAAGAGGCTTCATTTAAAACATGTCTTCATGATTGTAATCACTATGTTGGTTTCAAGGTGATCGTCGTGGTCGGCCTTCCTGGATCTGGAAAAACTGCTTGGGTAAATAAACATGTTGAAGAGAACCCTGGCAAGTTCAACGTCCTCGGCACCAACACCATCTTGGAGAAGATGATGGTGAGAAACATTCTTCTTTAAAACTTTTTATCTTAAATGTCTGAATCTTATTTTCTTGTCTAATCTCACTTTTTGGACTCGCAGATTGGCAGCATGAAGAGGCAAAACAAAGACACAGCGAAGCTCTCAGCCATCTCTCAGCGTGCTCCTTTGTTCCTGGGCAAGTTTATTGAAATTGCCGCCCGCAAAAAGAGAAACTACATCTTGGATCAGACAAACGTGTCTGCACTGGCCCAGAGAAGGAAGATGTGTCTGTTTGCTGGCTTCCAACGCAAAGCTGTAGTGGTCTTCCCAACAGATGAGGCCTTCAAGGAGAGAACACAGAAGAAAGCAGAAACCGATGGCAAAGATGTACCTGAGCATGCCGTTCTGAAAATGAAAGGCAAGACGTGATGTCATTTCACCATTGCACTTTCTAGTTTTCCTTGTAGTCCAAAACTGCATAGTTTAAATGAAATAAAAACTAACCTAGCACACAAAGTAGGAACGCAAAGAATACAAAATATTGTTTTTCCTCTCTACAGGTATCTACACGTTGCCAGAGGTAGGAGACTGCTTCTCAGAGGTCACCTATGTGGAACTGCAGAAGGAGGAGGCCGTCAAGCTCTTGGAGCAGTACAAGGGAGAGAGTAAAAGTGCTTTGCCACCCGAAAAGAAACCAAACCAGGGCACCATAACCCCCAAAAAGGGAGGTGGACGAGGCAAAGGGCCTAAGAACCAGTTCGGTAGGGGTGGTGGTCCAGGCCTACGTGGAGGCAGAGGTGGATTTCAGGCCCGTGGAAACTTCAGAGGATGTAAGCCAGTTTTTAATTTCATTTTTTTTAGTGAGCCGTCATGGTAAATATACACTGACAATTATACCTCGTATTTTCTCCTAGTACCAGTACCACATCGAGGTTTTAATCGTCACCCGCGTGGCTACATGCCACCACCGCCACCACCCCCTGTCTTCCGAGGAGGGTTCCATAGCCGAGGTGGAGCCGGTGGGATGCCCAACCGGGGAATGGGCCCCAGGGGTGGGCACATTAGAGGCGGCAGAGGTAGAGCAATGGGCCGCGGAGGGCCTGCACACATAGGTAACATGCACCGCGGCGGATCCAACAACAGAGGACACTTCCAGCAGGTTAGTTTGTATCTTTTGTAACGAAGTACACTACTGTTCAATATAGGGCTGGACGATATGGCCAAAATTTATATCACGATATATTTCTTAATTTCGGTCGATACGGTATAATTCCGATATCTATATGAACACTATTAAAAAAAGCCTCGTAAAAACTGCCAAGAACACCCACAACAGATGTCTGTGCATACAAACTTAAGAAAAATTTATTTGCCAAGTCTGTGACACCTCATATAAAACCATATAATATTTTAGAAAAGAAAAACAGCACAAATAAATTAATGTTCACCTTTTATTTGTATTTAGCCTTCATACAAACAAGAAATGTGAAATCACTGTCAAGTAATCGTCTCAGACTCGCCTAATTAATATTAATATCTTTAACTTCAAACTATAGGCTAACATACACTACCAGTCAAAAGATTTTGAACAGTAAGATTTTTAATGTTTTTAAAGAAGTGTCTTCTGCTCACAAAGCCTGCATTTATTTGATCCAAAATACAGCAAAAACAGTAACATTTTGAAATATTTTTACTA